GTTAGTAGTTGTTAAATTAATTTATTTGAGATCGTTGAATAAATTAATTAATATTTATTATATTTTATATTATAAATATGCCAATGCAAATACAATATAGAAATATTATTGAAATTTAAAAAATTTATTAAATTTATTAATCTAATAATTATTAATTAATACTCTATTAGTATCAATGTAATAGCAACCATAAACAACATCATACTTGGCGCATTATTAATTTACGATATTAAGTTAAATTTTTAGGATCTAAAAGTATTAGTGATATTTGGATCTCATAATTACTCTACTTGTATTGGTTTGATAAACTGAATTACAAGAATAAGGTTCATGGTATCAATCATGAAATAAGAATTTACCAACCCATGTGTTTATACAATACAATTTGAAACGAGAGTCTTACCAATTTTGCTGACTGAAGAACACACTAACACCCAATAAATAAGGGAATCCGAGAAAATTTAATTGGTGTGCAGATGTGTCCAATCATTTGGTCTACAAATGTAGGTCCCAAAGTTGTTGGTGTAGCATTTTAGATTCATAATTTCTTATTTACACATAAATTCTATTTATTTTATTTTTCGATGGTGATAGAGTGATATTAATTACCATCAATGTGAGGTTATAATAGAGGTGTTGAAGTTGCTTGCTTTACAAAATTTTTCCTACATTTTACCATGTTGTATTATTTGAGATGGAGCTGATATACAATGACACAGGATGGTCTATCTGTTATTACAAAATTACCTCATCCGTCTTGAATTAGATAAATAACCAGTATTAGGATGGTCTATCTATTACTATTTACGTATCTATTTTAACCTGAAAAGGAAGTTATTTTTTGAGCCTATAATGGTTTATATATGTGCAGTATGTATATGAGCTTGTCTGGCTGCTGGATTTAACTTCTAAATTTACTAGAAGCGGTTGTTCTGATGTTGTCTGTAAAATGACATTATAAATACCTGTATGTAATCCTATATATATATATATATATGAGGTAGTGAGAGCAGTGATTTCCATTGTTAGATAGCTGTTACCATCATGTGCTCTGGTTTTGGTACGGAATGTGTGCTGGCATTGATCAGGACGTGGTCTCTCTAGCTTTGCCATTCATTTAGTACACCTAAATTTCTATCGGAGTTGGGCTTTCTACCATTTTCCGATATGGTACAGCCTTGATAATAATAGTGGTTGTTTATCCATCCTCCCTTCGAGTCGGTCCTTTTATTAGTTGGGTTGTTGTGATCGTGCAGTAATTATGATAAATAGTAAAAAATTAAATAATTAAAAAAATAAGAAAAAAATAACACACAGAGATTTATGTGGTTCGACAATATGCCTACATCCACAAGAGCGAACAACCGTTTTATTTCATTATTAAAAGTAGGGTTACATCTTAAATATTTATATAACCCTAATACGGACGTATTTACAAAAATACCCTTGTACCGTACACCCCCGCACTCCCAACTAATCAATGTCCCCTTTATACAAATCCCGCAAGGCAGATGCCGTCGTGGGCTCTGCCCGCTCCGGCATCTGTCTCTTTGTCATTGTGCACACAATAAATATGAGCCACACATACTCTAACATTAGTCTTATTCTTTTGCATGGGCTCTCAAAACAGTTGAACTGTATATCCTGAGGATAAGAAATGAGGATATAATCCTGCCTGCCCATGATCCTCTCTGTCCTCCGATCATTGTCGCTTCATATTTTTTTTTTCAGGGATGTCTTATTTTGTAAATGTGCATTTTGATCTATTATGGCACTATACCTTCCTATACCATATAATGCTGAGGGAGTATAACTCATTAGATTTTTGAGGTTTTGAATTTGGGATTCGAGATTTCCGGAGTGCAAATCAAATGATAAATAATTAATTTGTGATCTAAGCATAATATTATTCTCAATTCAATAACAGGCAAATGGATCCAGCATGGGTCGTTGTGGTGCCAATGTGGACTGTGACCCTAGTCCCAGCAATGTGAAGATGCTCTTAGGAATAGCTGACGAAATGCTGAAACAGAAGAACGTAGAATCCGAGCTCTTTGGGGGTAAGAGAATTGGAGAGCAGAGCAATTTTGAGAAACTTGACTGGTTTGCAGGAGAACTTGTGTTGGAGCATCAGAGGAGGAGTTGCCGAATCGCACCCACAGTTGCATTCAAGCAAGTTAATCCCAAACCCACCTAGAAAAAGATTCAAAACAATCTTGAAAGAACAAAAAAAGGTAAGCTTCCTCTTTAAGATATTCTAAATTATTCAATTCTTTCATTTCATATATCATATAAGCTTATCATTTTGTTCCATAATGGCTTAGCATGCTGATATCAACTAGGCCCCTATCACCATCTTGGTATCTTCATAATTGAAACGAAACGTATGGTGGAAAATCTCATGGGGTAACTCATGTGCTAAGAAAGACGAGATGTAAACTCGGATGTCCTGAGTTTAAATCTTAACAATTTTTTAGGATCAGATTATAAAAGATTTATCGCTTATGAATACTTTAATTTTAACGTAGATGACTTATCTTTAATCAAAACGGAGAAATGATTAGTTGAGGAGTGTGTAAATTAATTTAAACACTCCTGATCATTGAAAAAAAAAAGAAAAATGTCATGGTGGCTTTGTAATTTCTAGAGATGGTCTTCGACATTTAGGTGTTAAATCGTAATCACGAGAAAGATGTTGGTATTTTCCGTTCTTTTTGTTGCAAATTGTAACAACCGATTATTAATTCCAAAAGAACCCAAAGATTAAATTGTCAAATAGTTTGTGGGGGAAAGAAACATCCCCTTGTTGTCGTTCTACCGACACTATTTTTTGAAAAAGAGTGGGGCCATGCAGTTAATTGAATAAAAAAACCAGAAAAAGATCCTTTATTTATGTCTGTTTTGTGGGTGAGAGAGAGAGAGGGCGGGGGGGTTCTGATCCTACAGGGAGACCCTGTTTTGGTTGCGTGATCATGTTCCATTTGACCACTAGACAACATTCGTTCTACGCTCTTCCAGTTTTGGTTACCGAACTGAGTGTCACCGTTAACCCTTCAACGTGTCAAGTGTCAACCATTCCTATCCCTAACCCCTTAGGTTGGAGAGGTATTATTTAGGTAAATCAAGAATATTCCATTTTATCAGCACGTCGGTAGCTAGTCTCTGTCCTGCCATTACTGTCATATAACAGAATGAGAGAGAGAGTTGGCATCTTTAATCAAATCAAGGTGATGTAGTGTTAGCCGAGGATAGGATTGTTAGTCGAACGCGTTCAAACTAAATTTAAAAAGTTTATTTTATTTTAAAAAATTATTTAAATTTAGCTCATTTAAGAAACGAGTCAAACCTAAACGAACTAAAAATAAGTCAAATCTAAATATTTGCACATAAATAAGTCGAGTTTAAATTGTGTTTGTAAGACTGTTTTTTAAACAAGCTTAAAAATTTATTCAAGTTAAGGTTGATTTAAAAAATAAATCGAATCTGAATGAATCGAACTCGAACAAAATTCAAATCAAACTTGAATAATTCAGATTGATCAACAATCCTAACCGAGGGCATCCTGGACTCTGGACTTGTTTGCTAGAAAAGTGCCAATATCGTTCCTAGGGTCAGATAAAGACCGCCAACCTAGCTGCTGTGGACTCCGGCAGAGACTTGTGGATTAATGGTTCCTGATAAATTAGAGTCGGTAGGTTTCGTTGTACGGTTGCAGAGATGAAGTTTTAAGAAGTATAGAATCAATTTCCTAGAAGATTTTTTGACATGTGCATCTGAAGAACTGACAGAAGGGAGTTATATGCATACGAGAATATGAGATGCAAAGTGAAGCTCGCGAAGCTCGGGTTCAAACTTCAAAAAACCTGTGTGTGTGTCCAAAGAATAGTCCTCTCGCTGGAAAAAGGAGGAAATAAAAAAAAAATTAGTCTCAAATTTAAAAAAAGTTAGCACCAATTGCTTGCTGTAAATTTTTTTGTTTTGTTTTGTTTTATGTTAAGAGGTGACTAGGATAGCTAATAAGATCTCGTATCGAAAGGTATATCATTTTAGGTGAAGTTATAATATTTTGAGAGCCAAAATTACAATTCAAAGAGTTAACATAAATTATACAATATTGTGATCGACCATGAAAAATATAATTTTTAAAGATCAACTTACATATTTAAAAAGATTAAATTACAATTGATTAAAATTTTTTAAGATCGGTCACTATTTCATGATCGATTGCAAAGTATAATTTGAACTTTAATAGTGATACATTTTTGTATAATATCAAATAAAAAAAAAATTGATAACGTAAATTTAGAAGCTATGTGTATGATTTCAACTTGAACGTCTACTATGAGATTTAACTTATCGTAAGGCCTACCCATATGATCTGGTACCATATTCGTCCACACACGGAAAAATAAGCAGGGATCTCGTTAATTTTCTTTTATCCTGCATCTTACTTACCACTAATAATCCTTCTCTGTCAATGTCTTCTTTGTAATTCAAATGCAGGGAAAATTTTGTTGGAAGTAAGGCAGCAGCTTTCTTACTACTTTTACAGAGAAGATAGAAAAAGAAGAGGTAGTCGTCCAAGGAGATTGTGCCAAATCATTTGGAACAAAAATTTAGTAAGAAAATTTGGTAAACATAATATTACCTCAGCAAAAATTGTGTGAGAAAGGACAATCAGCTATTGAAAAATGTGTGGATGATCTTGGTGGGATTCTTTGCATGCCAGAGGATAGACATTGTGGCGTCCATTCAACTTTCCAAGGTATGGGTAAATATGACCATATTGTGAAATTTGAAGATCAAATAAATAAAAGCCCATTTTTAATTCTTTGGTGTGAAATTGCAAAATCTAGGACTTGGAGAAATGTTTCATTGTGTATTCCCTTCCCACTTATCATACTCCTTTCTAATTTTCTTTGTCCAATTCATCTTAAATGTTAGTGGGTTTGGTGATGGACCGGTGGTGGTGGACTACCTTGACAAAAAAAAAAACCCTAGACGTAGCAGCCAAAGTTCTTAGTCTAGCCCTTGCATTTTTCTCTTCACTGATTTTTTCTTTTATTTTTTCAATTTGGATTGTAGTGGTGGAGAAGAGATCTAAGAGTGGGTCCCTTATAAGCTACCGACTGTTTTTTTCAGAAGGGATTGATTGATGGGTCACTACAGGGGCTTGGTCGTCCATTTAACTTAGTTAGATTTGACTAAGGTATTGATAAATCAAAACAAAAAAAGTTTGGCAACTATCTCCACAATTTATTATTTTTATGAGTTATTTTACGACAAAAAAAATGTATTACTTTTGTGAATAATTTATTATATTTATAAATATTTTTATTACNTGGTCGTCCATTTAACTTAGTTAGATTTGACTAAGGTATTGATAAACCAAAACAACAAAAGTTTGGAAACGTATCTCCAAAATTTATTATTTTTATGAGTTATTTTACGACAAAAAAAATGTATTACTTTTGTGAATAATTTATTATATTTATAAATATTTTTATTACGGCTGTGGTAATTATTATTATTATCATTATTTAGTACAAAATTTTTTTACTTTTGTAGGTATTTTTATCATAATTATTAATGTTTTTACCGATATATGATATTTTTATCACTGTTGTGATATCCAATGGTTACCACAATAATAATAAAAACACTAACAAATATAATAACAACACTCATAAATATAATTAAAATCAGTACGATACTGAAATTTATNCTATGATTATTTAGTACAATTTTTTTTTACTTTTGTAGGTATTTTTATCATATTTATTAATATTTTTACCGATATATGATATTTTTATCACTGTTATGATATCCAATGGTTACCACAATAATGATAAAAACACTAATAAATATAATAACAACACTCATAAATATAATTAAAATCAGTACGATACTGAAATTTATTTTTTTGGTACCATAAACAATTCCTAATTTGTTTCTTGGACCTTTTTAATAGGTAGGGTCCTTCGTCTGAAACTTCACTTCCAAAATGTTTCATTATCTTTTTACTGTTTGGAGAACCAAAAAGTTTAGTCCTTGCTTGTGTGTGTTTGTGTTTTGATAAATGAAGTGGAGGTGGGGTTGGTTATTGTTTGTTTGTTTCTAGTTGTGTTTTTTGAGTTAACAGCTTTTTGGGCTTGTTTTTCTTTGCTCATTGTTGACTTCAATAGATGATAGTAATTGTTGATCGATCTTCACCCTTTTAGTGATCATATGTCAAAAACTATATGGCTTGTGCTTGATACTTTCCAACCTATATCACCAAAATTTCTTACTTTCATCCTTTTTTTCTTATCTCTTCCTCATCCCCTGGATAATCAATCAACCAGTCAAAGTGATGTCTTACCCCTAACTTCTAGGGGAGTATTACTACAGTACCTCCATTTTTTTCTAATAAAAACGTACGACGTGTGTATTTTCTCTTACTTTATTATCATTTTTATATCTGTTGTGGTTGGACTAAAGAGATTCTTTCATTTTGGAGGACCGAATGTAATATTTCATACTTCAATTATAGTAGGATACAATGGTAGGGAGGGTTTTTGACCTAATAGTTTCATAGAGACTGAGTCTAGCACTACAGGCACATGAAATAGTTTTCGATCACAAAACCTATCCAGTGATGCCAAAAAGAGAAGGAAATAAAAGTATATGTGCAATTCTCTAGTCAAAGCTGTTTTATGCGTGAAATGTTAAATTTTGCTTAACAAATCCACTCTTAGTATTATGGACTTGCGTTTATGGTAAAGACTTACAGAGTAATGGAGAGAGGATGTAGTAGTCACTCAGCAACTTTGAAAGGGGATTGCTTGCCCAGCTCGATTTCTGGTAGGAACAAGAAAAGGAAGAAATAATTTCATGCCACCAACTAGAAAGAGAAAAAGTAGGAGCCACATTGAACCTTTCAAAGGGGGGCAACTGCTAGCGGTCTCACTCATTGCTGGATTAATAGGAAACAGTCCACATTGTGCCATTAGTTGATCCACAAAGACCAGGGCAACCATGGCTTCAACCATTGGAACCGCTGCAGCATCACTCCAAACAATCATGAACTCACAGTGGTTATATCCTCTTAATTTTGTTGTGCGAGTGTGTGTGTGTGTGTGTGTGTGCATAATATTTCACTCAATCTTGAATTTTGTCAAATATGCTCTATTTTAAAAGGACCCTCTCTAAAAAGTAAAGAGCAATTTGAGATGCTCTTGGTGATTAAAATTACTAAGCGGCTATGAATTACATGTCGTAATTAGGAATTGCAAGAACTATAAAGGAGAAAGTGTCATTCTGATTATAAATTATAATAAGGACAAGCAAACTCATCAGAAACAAATTATTCTCCAGGGACAAACCTCGAGGGACAACACGACAACACAAAGATCATAGCGCTATAAGCTCTGTCTCGTGTTTATCTCTAGTCATTGTATTCTGTTTCCTCTGCCTGAGCATCAGAATAACAACGTAAAATGATAGTTCATACTAATAAATCAAAAACACCTTTCAGAAACAGCTTTGAACCACAATCCATTTATTGAATTTTGATATAAGCCAAAGAAAATTTTCAACCTTCTGTTAGTTAAAACATTAGCCATTTAATCTAGATGACAAATGTACACACGGTTTGACAATGGCTANAATACTGAATTTTGATATAAGCCAAAGAAAATTTTCAACCTTCTGTTAGTTAAAACATTAGCCATTTAATCTAGATGACAAATGTACACACGGTTTGACAATGGCTATGATTTTCACGTAGGAGAGACCAATAAAACCACGAAGTGTATAAGCTTGATAGTGGTTATACAAAAGGCAGCTACAAGGTGCCTGTAAGATATGCTGGTGACACTATAGTAGTACTTCATCCTATGCATGACAGCCACATGCAGGGATGAAGTCAGGATTTTATCGTAAGGGGGCCAAACATGAATAGTGGCACCGTCATAAATTTTATTCAATGAGGTCATTTGTTATGTTATTGTTAATGTCAAATTTGTAGTCGTATAAAACCTATTAAAATCAATTTTGATACTATACAATACAAAAATTAGTTTGGGTCAAAAAATCTACAAATAAATTGCCATCTTGAATATTAGTTTCACATGATACCATCAAAAAAATTAATCGTGAGCAAGTGCATTTGTTCGTAATGCAAGTCACATCTGTAACCCGATATTGCAACAACTTTTCTTTTTCTTTTGGAGATTACATTCATCCTAGCAAATGCTTTTGTAAGAAGAGCATTCATCCATTTGGTTATTTAAGGCCATTTAGCTTTTTGAATATGCTAAATAAAGTATCCTACACATAATTTTTTTTAAAACCTAAGGAGAGATATAAAGTTTTGGAAAAACTAAAGGGAAATAATGGATATTTGAGAACTTGAGGGGATAATATGGCTCCCCTAGCCCATTTGGTTCTATCACACGCCGCATGTTACTCAATTATATACATGACAAATAGATACCCTTCGAATTAAGTTCTCCGATGTGGCCAAAAACATTGTGCACAAGTTACCAGTAATCTACGTTGCTTCTTTTTTTGAACAAGAAGGTTCAAACACAATCCCAAGCCATGCATAAAGATGTCTTTACCGCCATGCCATGCCATCCTATGCACATTGACTAGCAGGAGTGGAGCTATGCTTGGCCAAGGCCCCCTCTCAAGTTTTAAAAATTAACCTTTATTTATACCTTTCAAGTTGGCACTCTCACTTTTCAAAATTATATTTAAACCTCATAATATATTTTTTATATCACTTTAAGAGGTCTCTCAAGTTTCCAAACCTATATTTTATATCCACAAATTATCATCTTGATTTCATCTCACACATCAACTATAAACTTAAACACGTTACACTATTTGTTGCCAAAAATGTAACAATTCATGCAAAACCAAAATTTAATGAAATTGTGCAAATTGTCAAAAGTCTAAATCGTCAAATGGTGTCACATTTTCAAACCAATGATCGAGGGGTAAAATAAAATCGCTTAGGAAACGTAGAAGAAATAGAAAATGGTAGGATTCATGAACGTTCTTTCGTAAAATAAAGAATTCGGAGATAGAATTTGCATTGAAGAAAATAAAATTAGGCAAGGCTTTAGGATCGGATGAGATTCCAATTGAGATTTGAAAATGCTTAGGGAATGAGGGGGTGTCGTGACTAACGAAATTATTCAATAAAATTATTGCTATTAGGAAAATGCTCAATGAATGGAGAAAAAGAATTTTAGTACATCTCTATAAAAATAAAAGAGATATTCAAAATTATAATAATTATAAAGGGATAAAATTGTAATAATTATACAATGAAATTATGAGAATAGGGTCATTGAATATCACCTAAGAGTTTGAGACTACAGTGTTAAAAAACTAGTTTGGGTTTTTATGTCGGGTAAATCAACTATGGAGGCTATATATTTATTAAGGATATAGAAAAGTATAGAGAGAAGAAAAAAAAATATCCAAATGATATTTATAGATCTAGAATAAGCGTATGATAAATTACCTAGAAATATAATATGGAGGGCGCCAGAGAGAAAAAGAGTAAATAATAGATATATTGAGATGATAAATAACATGTATAACAGGACTATAATTACAACTAGGTCTTCTATGAGAGAAAGTAAAGAATTTTCAATTATGGTGGAATTACATAAAGGATCGGCCCATAAGTCCATACCTATTCGTCTTAATTATGGATGAACTCACTAAGCACATTTAAGATAATGTCCCACGGTATATGCTATTTGTAGATGATATTGTATTAGTAGAAGAAACTCAAATGGGGATTAACAATAAATTAAAAATTTGGAGAGAGAAACTTAAGTCAAAAGGGCTTAAAATAAACAAGAGTAAGACTGAATATATGCAATGCAATTTTAGTAATAGAAGAAATAGGCATAGTAAAAAAGTCAAGATTGAAAATTAAGAAATATCAACGAGTAAACAATTTAGATATTTAGAATCGATCATTAAAAATGATGGAGAGATTGGAGATAATGTAACTCATAGAATCAGCGCCAACTGACTTAAGTGGAGGAAAGTCTTAGGCATATTATGTAATAGAAGGATATCAATAAAATTGAAATATAAGTTTTAATGAACAACTATAAGGACAACAATGTTGTATGAGACAGAATGTTGGATAACTAGAAAACAACATAATGACAAAATAAGTGTAGCGAAAATGCAAATGTTAAGGTCGATGTGCGAAAAAACTAGAAAAGATAGAATAAAAAATAATCGTATTAGAGAAATGGTAAGAGTAGCTCCAATTAAGGATAAATTAAGAGAAAATAGATTACAATAATTTGGTCATATTCAATAGAGGCATCGGTTCAAAAAAGTGAGAATTTCTCTTAATAGTACCATAAGTTAGAGTAGACCTAAATTAACATTGAACGAAATAATAAAAAAATATATGAAAATTTTTAACTAAAATGAGTGTATAGTGTATGATTAAAATAAATGACGAAAACAAACTCATATAGCTGACCCCAAATGATTGGAACATAAGACTTGGCTTGGTTTGGTTTGGTTTAGTTTGGTTTGGTTTTATTTGGTTTAATTTGATGAAATTTAATGGTATTCCAGTGACTATTTGACGAAATTAAACCAACATTGTTGGTTTTTATGAGTTTTGTCGCACTATATGAAATTGTTTCGTATTTTATTCATTTGACAAGTTTGAATTAATTTTTAAAATTTTATCAAAAATAAATAATACTGCACTTTATCACGTGAAAGTTTATTTTGACGGGTTCTATAAGAGTGAAAATTTGACAACAACTCGTTGAATGATTCCATCAAGCAAAAACTTCTGTTGTTATATTATTTGGCCCTCCAGGGAAGAAATCCTGGCTCCGTCGCTGTTGACTAGAGTCTGATTACATGTATGAGAGAGAGAGAGAGAGAGAGAGAGAGAACTTACCCCAACTGTAGATGTTGGCTTAAAAGCTATGCTCATATTTATGGTTTCTCCATTGGATATTCCACCCTGCTCATCAACACATGATCTCATAAACCATACTTGGTAAGTTGAAAAAATCTCATGAACTCTCATATTCTTTCCCGAATGATTTATAAAGCTTAAAACAAACACCTGTCTCCCACCAGACCGGTTGGTTCTTGTTCTGATTCAGCCACGTTCATCCATAAAGAATTCATCATTATGTCCACTCCCAGTCATAAATGTCACTGCAAGGATTTCAAAATAGCAATGCCATGCATGTAAGAGAAGGCTGGAAAGCATCATAGGTCTGGTCACCCAATTCAGTTCAACGATTATTATGGGGGAAAAAAAAAAGTAAATATGCTTCTATACCAGCAAACCCGCTGCCAAACTTGAAACCCTTTGTTGCAGGTAATGACATAGCAGCTTTAGCCAGCTCGGCCTCAAATTTATCCAAGACTGGTGACCCAAGGCCCTGACATACAAAAACAAATTTCAGACATCTGTTAATGATGTTGAAGTATTCAAGAATGATGCATCACCTTCAGTTTGCAGCACGAAAAACACAACTCACATTTTCACACAAGTGGGGAGAGAGAGAGAGAGCGCGCTTACACGCAGGACATTTCTCACAATACATCTGACAACAACACCAACAGAATCCCCTCTGACTCGGACAACATCAATGGCAGCAATCATTTTCTCCACATATTCGGGATTCGGGCACCTAACAATATTACTCTCTATCTGGTAACAATTGATCCACGAGAAAATTTAGACTGGGTTAATGGGTAGTTCAAGGAATAATCAGGAAGTAAGAAGAGGGAAAAATCATCAATGATTATAAAGTCATTAAGAATTCAGGAATAAATTTAAACGCCTAGATGAACAAGCATACATTAAAACATACATCAATCTTTTGGAGTTGGTATTGTTAGGCTTTATGACTAGAAAATTGAAATTTCATCATTCATAAAAGGTGAAAGGAAGGATGAAGTTTGCGGCAAAGTTAAAGAAAAGAGAATTTTGGGACTGCACAGAGTGCTTCGAAACTTCCTGTGAACAGTAAATAGGGCTCGCTTGGTTCTTATACATCTAAATCAAGGGCTTCAGGAGGGAATTCATTGGGCTCACAGAACTAGGGCTGTAAGGTCAAGAAGATGGAACCCAATTCAGTTGTTGGGTTTTGGAGGCTTTTAAAGTGCAGAAAATCAAGAAAAGAAGTAGGAGAACAGGACTAGAAATAGGAGATCACCCTAGGCAATCAACTTGCGTCTGAGGCCTTACATACCAAATAAGTACACAACGGCCAACTGACTAGAAGACTTAAACCGTTGGACTCATGTTTGGACCTAACAAGCTCAACTGAACCTACTGAAATTATTAAAGTAACCCTAAAACAACACCCAACCAACAAGTCCACTTCTACCCTAAAAATAGAATCTTAAAAAAGATAGAGATGGCAATAAAAGTTAAAACAAAACTAATAAAAACATACATGGTCAAGGAAGCATCTGTTTTTAATCTCATTATGACTTGGTTGTTTGGAAGATATGAAGACTATTGGACACATTGAAAAGACTATAACATCTTCCAAGTGGCTTCCTTTCAATCTTGACAATACCATATGAGAACCTGGGCTTTCTAATGGAAACTTTTAGTGTCTTCTGTTGTACCCCCATCAAATGCCTTCGGAAATAACTGCTGTCATATGCATTGGAGGTTGACTATTTTTTACAACATAGCAGGCATCTTCAGAATGTATATGTTGTTAGTTGATTACTTGATTTATTTCCTAGCAAATGATTTGCCATTGAAAGAAGTCTAATTTTCCTATTTCAAGAAATTGATCCTGCAATGCTCGTATTTCCTCTTTTTGGTAGAATCAAATACAAACCCACCCACCCCAAATAAAAAATAAAAATAAAAGAAGGGACAAGGGAAAAGAAAAAATCAAACTCATAACAATATCGATGATTATACCTCATCAAGTGTCAGAGTCTCATAATCAACAACATTAACTGAAAGTTCGACCTTGTGGACTTTGGAGACATAAGCAAGAACCTGAGACATTCCAAACAGTTGGGAGTAGAAAGAACTCCAGCCAAATTAGTTCAAAAAAAAGTACATATGTTCTGTACCACAGTTCTTTATTAAAGCATGAAAGGCATACATTGATAATTAGTTATGACTACAATATCTGTGATTCCACAACAGGCATGCTTGATACAGAGGTTCCTGACCTCTTTTCAACAACACAGTCGTTCATGCAAAACTTGAGGCTTTTGGCTTAGTCATTTATTTATTTTGTAAGAGAAGTCCAGCTAAAACTTGGGCTCTCATCTAATTATTTATCCAACTTGGAGATCCAAATAACCACTATTATCAGTAAGTTAAATTTTTTTTTTATAGGAAACATTCAATTTTATTAAAAATAATAAGAAATGAAGGTTACAAATCCTATATGTAAGGTGGATAAAGTATCCAGCCCAAAGATAGGTGAAGACAAATAACATAGCTGCTAAGCTGCGTAAACAATGAAAAAGGATCATTCATCATGCTACATTCCACATGATGCTGTCCAACTTCAGAAAAGAGGAATATTCACAATTCCTAATAAGTGATTATGCAAACCCATCTAAAAACATTTCCACATATATAACATAACAGTCGAAAAGGCACAGCCACATCCACATTGAAGCAACATTTTATGTATGTATGAATGAATTTACATGTGAAGGGATAGCTTGCTTGTCTATACATGTGCATGCAACATCCTCACAATGACATTTAAGAATACTGATCGACCCACCATCCCACAGCCAAATAACACACCTCAGTTCCTGAAAATTGCTTGAGAATTTTCTTAGCTACACCTCTGGCTGCAACTCTTCCTATGGTTTCTCTAGCAGAAGATCTCCCACCCCCCCTGCATTTTGGTCGACAGCAAGACATAACCAACACTTGGTTAGAATTCAGATGGATCCAGAATCAATACAGTTTCAGTCTTTCCTAGATGTTATCTGTATTGATCTCACACCATATTTAAAGTTGTAAGTGGCATCTGCATGAGAAGGCCTGTAAGCTAGTTAAATTTCACTGTAATCCTGAGAAATGCAATAACACAGACAGTAACCTTACAGGAAAACACTTGTGCTATAGAAGGTTTATGCCCAAAAATAATGGCATTTGGGTTGTGGTTCGGATGACCAGTACCTGATTCCTACATGCAGTATTAAGATGACCAAGTAATATAAGCCATGATCAAAATTAATAGTTTCGCCGATATACACCCCGATCAATTCATTTCTTGCCTAACTCTCTAGATTGAAGTTACTTCTGCCTCAAAGTACAAGAACACTTGCAAATCTCATGTAAGCCACATTTACATTTCACCGACTATGTAAATCAAAGTTCCAACCCCTAACATCATGAAATGAAGCCATCTCCAAGAGGTTCCCGACCATAAAAAGTCGGTCTAATTGGTGCACACACCGCATGCTAATAGAATGTCCAAGAAGAATCAATAGGTTATCCCTTCCAAATCAATGATTTTCCCTAGTTTAAGACTTCCCCTTCAAAGCCAAAACATCATATGAAAACGGAATATTAGATACTCATGTGTCCTCTCTGATCAGTGTTGGGTACTTTTATCATGATTGGAGATCCAGTAGTCCCCCCTACGGTTAATGCACCAAGCATCAGTCCATTTCAAGAAGAGCATCAAGCACCAGTTTTTTAGTCTTGAAAACACTGCAAAAAAAAAAGAAAAAATGCTGAGGGAAATAATAAAATGGATCTGACCTTCAGCAACGCCTGAATATATTTTGCATGTGTCGGTCTCTTTTCTAGCCTCTAGGCGTAGTAATTCGGCTCTGGCCTAGCCTCCTGGATACAACAACTTTTGTTGTAACTCCATCAACATTCTTTTGCATAAGAAGATATTAGAGCTCGACGTGTAAATATGGCATAATCTTTTATTTGCAAAGAATTATACCCAATGTGTGTGTGTGTGAGAGAGAGAGATAAATTGGCAGATTGTGCTCCCAACCACTTGATTCAAAACGTCAATAACAATTTCAAGAAACATCTTTCCAGGAAGCATAGACAGACTTCCTTGAACAAAATTCANTGTGTGTGAGAGAGAGAGAGATAAATTGGCAGATTGTGCTCCCAACCACTTGATTCAAAACGTCAANATGTGTGTGTGTGTGAGAGAGAGAGATAAATTGGCAGATTGTGCTCCCAACCACTTGATTCAAAACGTCAATAACAATTTCAAGAAACATCTTTCCAGGAAGCATAGACAGACTTCCTTGAACAAAATTCAATGTGACTTCTCAAATGAGCACTCAAATACCAAGTATGAATATACCTTCACTTGAGATAGATGTAAGTCAAAAGGATACTCAAACTAAGAATAGAGTCCCGTATATATAGTCAAATAATAATACAAAGTGACCTAAACATCCTTATGGTCTAGGTAAAATATAAAGTCATAGTAAGAGTAAAAAAAGGAAAGGAAACCCTAATAAACTCGACTATACTCCAACACTCTCCCTCAAGTTAGGCGCAAAAATATCAACTAAGTCAATCTTGACAACAGAGTCTTGGAGAATGGATAGAGTGACAGGTTTGGTAAAAATATCTGCAACCTGATCACTGGTCCCCACAAACAATGGAGTGACAATACCACAACGAATCTTCTCTCAAAAAAAGTGAACATCGATCTCTATATGCTTCATCCTTTTGTGTAATACAGAGTCAAAAGCGAGCTGAATAACAAATCGATTATCATAATATAATGTAGATGAAAAAGTCACTAGAAATCTCAACTCGCCAAGAATCGATTGTAGTCAGATAATCTCACATGTGCCAAGTGTTAGTACCCGATACTCTGCCTTTGCTGACAAACGAGAGACAACTGCCTATTTTTTGCTCTTCTAAGAGATACAATGAGTCCCTCAAAAAGCACAGAAGCCCGTAATAGATCGACCGTCGCATGCTCCCCCATAATTTGAATCTGAATAACAGGTTAGAAAACCAGTCTGAGATCCTGATGCATAGAACAATCCAAGTCCAAGACAAGACTTGAGGTACCGAAGAATATGATTAACTGCATCAAGATGAGGTGACACAGCCTGTGCATGAACTGACTAACTCGCCTGACAACGAATGAAATGTCTGACCTAGGGTTGGCTAGGTAGATAAGTCTACCTACCAACCTCTGATAGACAGTCGGATCTCTCAACTCCTCACCTTCAGCAGTAAGCTTCAGGTTTGGAATTATGGGTGATGATGCCGATTTGCACCCCAGCGTCCTAGTATCTGAGAGAAGATCTAGAACATATTTTCTCTGAAAAAGAACAATACACCTACTACTACGAGCAACTTCAATCCCAAGAAAGTATCACAAAAATTCAAGGTCCTTCACATCGAAAGCCTTCCCAAGGTCTACCTTGACCTGTACAGTCCCAGAAACATCGTCTCTAGTAATAATAATATCATCAACGTATACGATATACCAAAAAGATGACACGCTGTCCAGAAGTATTCCGTCGAATGAAGCAGGTATGATTAGAATGACATCTGGTGAACCCCTAAATGTACAACTACACCACTAAAGCAAGAGAATCAGGCTTGTGGTGATTGTTTCAGTCCATAGAGAGACTTACGCAGTCGACATACTTTTCTAACATACTCCCACTCACCACGAAAATCCGACGGTGCATCCATATAAATAATCTCTTCCAAATTATCGTGAAGAAATATATTTTTCACATCCAATTGATAAATAGGCTAAGGGTACTCCGCAGTCATAAATAATCAATCGAACAATAGTCAATTTTGCCACGGGGACAAAGGTAGCACCAAAATCACGACTTGGTATCTGAGTAAAGCTCTTCGCCACAAGCCTAGTCTTGTGACGATCAATAGTACCATCCACAAGAAATTTCAGGGTGTAAACTCAGCAACAACCAACAAGTTTCACCCCTGAAGGTAAAGCGACAAGATTCGATGTATGATTATGCTGAAGAGCGTCCATCTCCGTCTGCGTGACAAGAACCCATTAAGGCTCCCGCATAGCCTCTGAAACAGAGCGAGGAACCAGCGTATCTACTAAGACCATACTATAAGCTCGAAATGTAAGAGAAAAATTACCATAAGAAACATAAGCAGATATCGGATATAAAGTTCTGGCGGTCCAACTATAACGAACAACTAGACGGCGATCACGCTACGGATAACGACGCCCTAAATCATCATCCTCCACTGATAATGTCTCATTAGAGAAAGTAACTGGCTCAGTACCTGCAATCTCATCAGTACTAACAATAGGTGCATCAATATGCTCAACGAATTGAGAAGTATTACCTGTATCGCCTGAGGTAGAGGGGACATCAGCAGGGGGATGAGAGCGAGGGCGATAAACATAAACCTGCAAAAGAAGAGAGACTGGTGAGTCTGTATTGACAGGGAAGAATGGCTCTAGTGGAGAAGAGATTGATGACTCTATAGTGATATACTGATAGTGATCAATGGCTCTGACTCTTGTGATAACAGAAAATCAAATGGAGTATCATCAATTAGAGGGGCAAACACAGGACTAGAAGAAAAATAAGGAATGTACTCAAGAAAGGTAACATCTAGATTGTGATACATACGACACCTGACAAGATCATAACACAAATACCTCTTAGACTAATGACAGTAGTCAACAAAGACACAACGAATCGCTTTATCATCAACCTTATGACGAGTAGGAGACCGATCCTGAATAAAACATGTGCAGCCAAAAACACGAGGGAGGATCGAAAAAAGTGTTTGCTCAGAGAATAAGACATGTAAGAGAGCCCTATACTGAAGAACACGACTCGGTGTACGATTACACAGAAATGTAGAAGTCAAAACAGCAAAATGTCAATAAGATTTTGGTACCCCCATACCTCTAAGCATACAACGTACCATCCTTATTAGACTCATATTTTTCCTTTCAACAACTTCATTTTGCTCAGGAGTATATCAACAAGTCAGTTGCTGAATGATACCCTGAGAGGAAAGATGAGACACTAAGGCATCGAACACATATTCTTTGGCATTATCCGAACGAAGAACACAAACAATGACATCGAATTGTGTCTTAATCATCTAGAGAAACTGAGTAATGACAGGGAGTACATTAGACTTCCTATGCAAAAGGTAGACCCAAGTACAACAGGTTTGGTCATCTATAAATGTCACATAGTATCGAACACCTGACAGAACAGTAACAGGAGAGGGTCCCCAAATATCAGAGCGTATGCATGCGAGGAATATAACTAGTCCGAACATGTTTAGACAGGGAACATATAACACAATCAAGTTTACCACCAACACAAGCATTGCTTAAAACAGGAAATAACATACATAAATATTTAAAATTTGTATGCCCAAAACGTATATGCCACAACTGAACAGTTTGTGATGAAAAATCATAATGACAAGTACTAGGCAAAATACTAGCATACAAGCTAGAAACAGATAAAGACAAAGCAGGTGTAGGTGCAGGTGATGGAGGTGGAGGAACTGGTGAAATTGGAGGTGGATCGCCTAGANAATATATGTTCTATTTCAAATTATGTGAAATTAAATGTTACAATTACATTATTTCTATATTTAAACTATCAATTGCATGTTACTTATTCAATTATTAGCAATTGTCCGTGCCTGAAAGCACGGTGTTACTTGTAAATTAGTTACAAATATTTGTTCATACATAAATATAAAGTAAAATACAATATTNCAATTCATCTCTCTCTCATATCCCATGATAATAGTCCTCTTGGTACTCAAGTTCTACAAATAACACGAATCAGATAAAAACACAACCACACTGTGAAAATATCTATCTAACTGATGTACGAATAATAGATTCATGGCCAATTTTGGCACATGAAAAACCGAATGTAATGTAAAGACATCTGTGAGGCAGACTGTACCCCTACTAACAATAAGGGCATGTGTCTCATTTGTTAACTGAACCTGTGTATGTGACTGCTCATCAAAAGTGGTGAAATGATGGGTCTCACCTATCATATGACCATTCACACCCGACTCCAGCATCCAAAGGGACGAACTGGAGCAAGAACGAAGGGCACGAGATATACCTGTAGTGGTGGTAGTAACAATAGTCGGACCCTGAAAAGTCAAGGCGAACAGAAATATATCCAATCGAAAAATGATAGAATCCATATCACTTTGCCAAGGAGGAGCCATGGTTCGAAGTCGCAGTATCGGTCATCGACTCGGAGGGTGCTGATACACATCGATCGCGGTGTCGCAGTGTCGCGGCGCAGTATCGGCTGATACGCTCAAAACGCAAGATAGAAGCTCTAAAAAAATTTGAAAAAATTATAAAAATTTTTAAAAATATAAACATCATCATTTATGCATCATATGTTCATAATACATCCAAAAACACATTAAATATAATTAAAATGAAACATAAACTCGCTACTGAAAATAATTTTCATTATCAAAGTTCAACATAGGCATTTAGGAACATATTGATCCATAATTATTGCCACATTGAACGATGATAAGGCTTAAAATTGTCATTATTGTAATTGTAACATTTAATTTTACATAATTTGAAATAGAACATATATTTTTTATCAAAAAAAATAAAATAATAGAACTTATATCCATTTATTTATTATTATAAAATATTAATGTATCTAATTATTACATTAAAGATATAATTTTTTTGATCATTAAAAAATAATACTTGTAATATTTATTCAATAAATAAGTAATTTAAATATAACAATAATGTAATTGTAACATTTGCTTATCTGGGAGAATCGAACTCAACTGCCTCTGCCTCTGCCTCTCTAGAGTAATTAAATGTAATTGTACCTAAAATAATGTAAAAAAACATGTTGAAACCTTGGAAGAGTCGAACCAATTACCTGTAGCATGATAATTTGCAACTCTATCCAATTGACCTACTACTTTTATGTTACCTTTAATGACAAATACAAATATATAAACACTCAGTAAAAAAAAAAAATTTGACATAGCTTTTAAAGAGTTTTTTTTTTAGATCAGATCAAACACAAAAATCCTACTTACCACTTCAGATCAGACGAACGTTTCGTCATTCGTCTTCTCACTTCTTAGTCACGACGACAGAGAGAGAAAGAGAGGTGCAAACAAAGAGACGACCACGGTCCCTCACCGACAGAGAGAGAACCAACATCGAAGATTTTATCTTCTCACTTCTCAATCCCTCACCGAAGAAGATCGTTGCAACAAAGAATCGAAGAATATCGTCACACAAAAATAAATGAAGAAGATGCTTCAGGGTTCGATCTGCAGGTATGTCGAATCCTTAATATTCTCGGTTTTTATAGGGGTTTGCTGCTTCAGGGTTCATGTGATTTATGCAATTTTCATACGAGTTTGACCGGTAGTGGGTCTGCTTTATTTCCCATCTTTTTTTTTTTTTGAATTTTTGTTCAATTTTCAAAAAAATGGTTGAGTGTTTTTAAACTTTTACAAAGGTGGTCTTGAATTTTTGTTCTGTTATCTCAGGTTTGGGGGATTTTTTCACTGTGTCTTGTTCGACTCAGAAAGATTATGATTCATATCAGCCGAGTTGAACCGAGTTATTACCGAATCCTTTAATTTTGTCCGAGATATTGCCGATATGTGTTCAATTCGTCATTCTTGCGATTCACGTACTGTTATCGTATCGTCAATGACCGAGTCGGATACGACTCGGCTGAGTCTTATCCGACTCAGCCACTGTCGATACGATAATGGTATGTGAGTCATAGAAATCTCAGAATGAACTACTATCGGCGATATATCGTTCGTCTCAGCTGAAATCAAAGGACTCGGTCACACTTCGATTCAACTCGAACGATTCGTTTCAGAATCTTTCCAAGTTGAAAGAGCCCGTGAAAAAATCTCCACAAATCTAACTTATAGAACAAAAATCCAAGACACTCAATCATTTCGAAAAAATTGAACAAAAAACCAAAAAAAAAAAGTGGGATGAGAAATAAAGCGGACCCACTACCAGTCAAAAGACTGGAAACCCATGTGAAAATTGCAGAAATCACATGAACCTTGAAATTTAAACCCCCATTTTTCAACTATAAAAAACAAGAATATAAGGATTTAACATTCCTGGAGATCGAAAGAAATAGGGTCTTCATCTTCTTCCTCTGTTTTTGTGTGACTATACTCTTCAGTTGTTTTTGTGCGACGATCGGACCAAGTGGATCTCGGTGTTGGTTCTCTAACGGTGAGGGACAGGGGTCGTCTGTCGGTGAGGGACTGTGGTCGACGGGTCGTCTCCGTTACTCTGTCTGCACCTCTCTGTATCTCTCTCATCGTGACTGACTGAGAAGACGAGAAGTCTTCGTCTGAAGAGGTAAGTATGGAAAAAAAAACTCTTTACAAGCTGTTTGTCGTTTTTTTTTTTACTGAGTCTTAGTTTTTTTAAATATTTATATTTATCTTGAAGGTAATTTAAAACTAGATGACCATTGAGTAAAGATGCAGATTATCATGTTGTAGGTCACTAATTCGACTCTTACTGGCTTTACATTATTTTAATTAAAATTACATTTAAATAATAGGCTATTTTATATTATTTTAGTTACAATTACATTTAAATTACTCCAGACATGCAATTAGGTTCGATTACTCCAGAGATGCAAATGTTACAATTACATTATTTATTGAATAAATATTACAATTATTTTTTTTTAATGATCAAAAAATTATAATTTTAATGTAATAATTAGACACATTAATATTTTATAATAATAAATGAGTGGATATAAGTTCTATTTTTTTATTGATAAAAAATATATGTTATATTTCAAATTACGTAAAATTAATTGTTACAATTACATTATTTTTATATTTAAATTACTTATTTATTGAATAAATATTACAATTATTGTTTTTAATGATCAAAAAATTATAACTTTAATGTAATAATTAGATACATTAATATTTTATAATAATAAATGAGTGGATATAAGTTCTATTTTTTTATTGATAAAAAATATATGTTATATTTCAAATTACGTAAAATTAATTGTTACAATTACATTATTTTTATATTTAAATTACTTATTTATTGAATAAATATTACAATTATTGTTTTTAATGATCAAAAAATTATAACTTTAATGTAATAATTAGATACATTAATATTTTATAATAATAAATGAGTGGATATAAGTTCTATTTTTTTATTGATAAAAAATATATGTTATATTTCAAATTACGTAAAATTAATTGTTACAATTACATTATTTTTATATTTAAATTACTTATTTATTGAATAAATATTACAATTATTGTTTTTAATGATCAAAAAATTATAACTTTAATGTAATAATTAGATACATTAATATTTTATAATAATAAATGAGTGGATATAAGTTCTATTTTTTTTTTGATAAAAAATATATGTTATATTTCAAATTACGTAAAATTAATTGTTACAATTACATTATTTTTATATTTAAATTACTTATTTATTGAATAAATATTACAATTATTGTTTTTAATGATCAAAAAATTATAACTTTAATGTAATAATTAGATACATTAATATTTTATAATAATAAATGAGTGGATATAAGTTCTATTTTTTTTTTTGATAAAAAATATATGTTCTATTTCAAATTATGTGAAATTAAATGTTACAATTACATTATTTCTATATTTAAACTATCAATTGCATGTTACTTATTCAATTATTAGCAATTGTCCGTGCCTGAAAGCACGGTGTTACTTGTAAATTAGTTACAAATATTTGTTCATACATAAATATAAAGTAAAATACAATATTGTAGTAAACGACGAACAAAATAAGTCCGCTAATATTTTTTATAACGTCAACCTACATTCATAACATATATTTTCACATTAAATTGTTACGCCACAAAAATTATATTATAACTACTGAAACATAATAACTCAAACATCGAAAAAAATATATCAGTTGATGATATTCAATGTTCTGTTTTTGATTCAAAATCCACGATTTTAACATTCATAATCAACTTTATTTAAATAATAACAGAATTCATAATTAATAGAATGAAATTAAAACAATACTCTCACAAATAAACTAAGTCTGCAGATGTTGTCAAATGACCAAATATAACTATCAGAAATTCAACCGACTAAAAAAAGATACGATCTGACTATTGAATTTGTTTGATTCGAGTTTGTAGTAGTGTTTTTAACTTTATATTATTCTTCTTGCTTATTTATATTCTCAATATATTTTCTTAAACTAAACTTTATTTAGTATTGGATTATTTAGTAAAAATTATTGCTTCATTTTGTTCACTAAATATTGAATTTATATGATTCGTGTTCATAGTATTGTTTATAATGTTGTATCATTTCTCTCGTTTGTAATTTTGTATCATTTTTCTCGGGTATTTAAATTTAGATTATTTAGTAAATATTGTTATTTTGTATTGTTCACTAAATATTAAATTTGTATGATTCGTGTTTGTATATGAATTTAATCTTGTATATTTTAAATGTTAAGCATATGTTCTTTAATATATCTTTTGATATCTGAATTGCCTAATAACTTGAATTTAATNAAAAAATAAAATAATAGAACTTATATCCATTTATTTATTATTATAAAATATTAATGTATCTAATTATTANTTTGATATCTGAATTGCCTAATAACTTGAATTTAATCTTGTATATTTTACATGTTAAGCATATTTTCTTTGTTAAATTAGATTTTTTGAAAGTTATACTTNATATAATTTTTTTGATCATTAAAAAATAATACTTGTAATATTTATTCAATAAATAAGTAATTTAAATATAACAATAATGTAATTGTAACATTTGCTTATCTGGGAGAATCGAACCCAACTGCCTCTGCCTCTGCCTCTCTAGAGTAATTAAATGTAATTGTACCTAAAATAATGTAAAAAAACATGTTGAAACCTTGGAAGAGTCGAACCAATTACCTGTAGCATGATAATTTGCAACTCTATCCAATTGACCTACTACTTTTATGTTACCTTTAATGACAAATACAAATATATAAACACTCAGTAAAAAAAAAAAATTTGACATAGCTTTTAAAGAGTTTTTTTTTTAGATCAGATCAAACACAAAAATCCTACTTACCACTTCAGATCAGACGAACGTTTCGTCATTCGTCTTCTCACTTCTTAGTCACGACGACAGAGAGAGAAAGAGAGGTGCAAACAAAGAGACGACCACGGTCCCTCACCGACAGAGAGAGAACCAACATCGAAGATTTTATCTTCTCACTTCTCAATCCCTCACCGAAGAAGATCGTTGCAACAAAGAATCGAAGAATATCGTCACACAAAAATAAATGAAGAAGATGCTTCAGGGTTCGATCTGCAGGTATGTCGAATCCTTAATATTCTCGGTTTTTATAGGGGTTTGCTGCTTCAGGGTTCATGTGATTTATGCAATTTTCATACGAGTTTGACCGGTAGTGGGTCTGCTTTATTTCCCATCTTTTTTTTTTTTTGAATTTTTGTTCAATTTTCAAAAAAATGGTTGAGTGTTTTTAAACTTTTACAAAGGTGGTCTTGAATTTTTGTTCTGTTATCTCAGGTTTGGGGGATTTTTTCACTGTGTCTTGTTCGACTCAGAAAGATTATGATTCATATCAGCCGAGTTGAACCGAGTTATTACCGAATCCTTTAATTTTGTCCGAGATATTGCCGATATGTGTTCAATTCGTCATTCTTGCGATTCACGTACTGTTATCGTATCGTCAATGACCGAGTCGGATACGACTCGGCTGAGTCTTATCCGACTCAGCCACTGTCGATACGATAATGGTATGTGAGTCATAGAAATCTCAGAATGAACTACTATCGGCGATATATCGTTCGTCTCAGCTGAAATCAAAGGACTCGGTCACACTTCGATTCAACTCGAACGATTCGTTTCAGAATCTTTCCAAGTTGAAAGAGCCCGTGAAAAAATCTCCACAAATCTAACTTATAGAACAAAAATCCAAGACACTCAATCATTTCGGAAAAATTGAACAAAAAACCAAAAAAAAAAAAGTGGGATGAGAAATAAAGCGGACCCACTACCAGTCAAAAGACTGGAAACCCATGTGAAAATTGCAGAAATCACATGAACCTTGAAATTTAAACCCCCATTTTTCAACTATAAAAAACAAGAATATAAGGATTTAACATTCCTGGAGATCGAAAGAAATAGGGTCTTCATCTTCTTCCTCTGTTTTTGTGTGACTATACTCTTCAGTTGTTTTTGTGCGACGATCGGACCAAGTGGATCTCGGTGTTGGTTCTCTAACGGTGAGGGACAGGGGTCGTCTGTCGGTGAGGGACTGTGGTCGACGGGTCGTCTCCGTTACTCTGTCTGCACCTCTCTGTATCTCTCTCATCGTGACTGACTGAGAAGACGAGAAGTCTTCGTCTGAAGAGGTAAGTATGGAAAAAAAAACTCTTTACAAGCTGTTTGTCGTTTTTTTTTTTACTGAGTCTTAGTTTTTTTAAATATTTATATTTATCTTGAAGGTAATTTAAAACTAGATGACCATTGAGTAAAGATGCAGATTATCATGTTGTAGGTCACTAATTCGACTCTTACTGGCTTTACATTATTTTAATTAAAATTACATTTAAATAATAGGCTATTTTATATTATTTTAGTTACAATTACATTTAAATTACTCCAGACATGCAATTAGGTTCGATTACTCCAGAGATGCAAATGTTACAATTACATTATTTATTGAATAAATATTACAATTATTTTTTTTTAATGATCAAAAAATTATAATTTTAATGTAATAATTAGACACATTAATATTTTATAATAATAAATGAGTGGATATAAGTTCTATTTTTTTATTGATAAAAAATATATGTTATATTTCAAATTACGTAAAATTAATTGTTACAATTACATTATTTTTATATTTAAATTACTTATTTATTGAATAAATATTACAATTATTGTTTTTAATGATCAAAAAATTATAACTTTAATGTAATAATTAGATACATTAATATTTTATAATAATAAATGAGTGGATATAAGTTCTATTTTTTTATTGATAAAAAATATATGTTATATTTCAAATTACGTAAAATTAATTGTTACAATTACATTATTTTTATATTTAAATTACTTATTTATTGAATAAATATTACAATTATTGTTTTTAATGATCAAAAAATTATAACTTTAATGTAATAATTAGATACATTAATATTTTATAATAATAAATGAGTGGATATAAGTTCTATTTTTTTATTGATAAAAAATATATGTTATATTTCAAATTACGTAAAATTAATTGTTACAATTACATTATTTTTATATTTAAATTACTTATTTATTGAATAAATATTACAATTATTGTTTTTAATGATCAAAAAATTATAACTTTAATGTAATAATTAGATACATTAATATTTTATAATAATAAATGAGTGGATATAAGTTCTATTTTTTTATTGATAAAAAATATATGTTATATTTCAAATTACGTAAAATTAATTGTTACAATTACATTATTTTTATATTTAAATTACTTATTTATTGAATAAATATTACAATTATTGTTTTTAATGATCAAAAAATTATAACTTTAATGTAATAATTAGATACATTAATATTTTATAATAATAAATGAGTGGATATAAGTTCTATTTTTTTTTTTGATAAAAAATATATGTTCTATTTCAAATTATGTGAAATTAAATGTTACAATTACATTATTTCTATATTTAAACTATCAATTGCATGTTACTTATTCAATTATTAGCAATTGTCCGTGCCTGAAAGCACGGTGTTACTTGTAAATTAGTTACAAATATTTGTTCATACATAAATATAAAGTAAAATACAATATTGTAGTAAACGACGAACAAAATAAGTCCGCTAATATTTTTTATAACGTCAACCTACATTCATAACATATATTTTCACATTAAATTGTTACGCCACAAAAATTATATTATAACTACTGAAACATAATAACTCAAACATCGAAAAAAATATATCAGTTGATGATATTCAATGTTCTGTTTTTGATTCAAAATCCACGATTTTAACATTCATAATCAACTTTATTTAAATAATAACAGAATTCATAATTAATAGAATGAAATTAAAACAATACTCTCACAAATAAACTAAGTCTGCAGATGTTGTCAAATGACCAAATATAACTATCAGAAATTCAACCGACTAAAAAAAGATACGATCTGACTATTGAATTTGTTTGATTCGAGTTTGTAGTAGTGTTTTTAACTTTATATTATTCTTCTTGCTTATTTATATTCTCAATATATTTTCTTAAACTAAACTTTATTTAGTATTGGATTATTTAGTAAAAATTATTGCTTCATTTTGTTCACTAAATATTGAATTTATATGATTCGTGTTCATAGTATTGTTTATAATGTTGTATCATTTCTCTCGTTTGTAATTTTGTATCATTTTTCTCGGGTATTTAAATTTAGATTATTTAGTAAATATTGTTATTTTGTATTGTTCACTAAATATTAAATTTGTATGATTCGTGTTTGTATATGAATTTAATCTTGTATATTTTAAATGTTAAGCATATGTTCTTTAATATATCTTTTGATATCTGAATTGCCTAATAACTTGAATTTAATCTTGTATATTTTACATGTTAAGCATATTTTCTTTGTTAAATTAGATTTTTTGAAAGTTATACTTTTTTTTATTGTTTATGAAAAAAAATAAAAAAGACTATTGAATTTATATAATTCGAGTTTATAGTAGTGCTTTTAATTTTATATCATTCTTCTTCATTATTTATATTCTTAGTATATTTTCTTAAACTAAACGTTATTTAGTATTGTATTATTTAGTAAATATTGTTGTTTCAGGTTATTCACTAAATATTGAATTTGTATGATTCGTGTTCATAGTATTGTTTATTGTTTATCTCACCTGTAATTTTGTATCATTTTTCTTAGGTATTTAGATTTGAATTATTTATCATAGTTTTAAAATCCGGCGTGGACACTAACCCGACAAAGGGACCGGGTCAATGGGTTACTGGTTGATTAAATCCTTTTAAGAAATAAAGTTTTTGATCGGAATATGAATCAAACCGAAAGANCACAAAAATCCTACTTACCACTTCAGATCAGACGAACGTTTCGTCATTCGTCTTCTCACTTCTTAGTCACGACGACAGAGAGAGAAAGAGAGGTGCAAACAAAGAGACGACCACGGTCCCTCACCGACAGAGAGAGAACCAACATCGAAGATTTTATCTTCTCACTTCTCAATCCCTCACCGAAGAAGATCGTTGCAACAAAGAATCGAAGAATATCGTCACACAAAAATAAATGAAGAAGATGCTTCAGGGTTCGATCTGCAGGTATGTCGAATCCTTAATATTCTCGGTTTTTATAGGGGTTTGCTGCTTCAGGGTTCATGTGATTTATGCAATTTTCATACGAGTTTGACCGGTAGTGGGTCTGCTTTATTTCCCATCCTTTTTTTTTTTTGAATTTTTGTTCAATTTTCAAAAAAATGGTTGAGTGTTTTTAAACTTTTACAAAGGTGGTCTTGAATTTTTGTTCTGTTATCTCAGGTTTGGGGGATTTTTTCACTGTGTCTTGTTCGACTCAGAAAGATTATGATTCATATCAGCCGAGTTGAACCGAGTTATTACCGAATCCTTTAATTTTGTCCGAGATATTGCCGATATGTGTTCAATTCGTCATTCTTGCGATTCACGTACTGTTATCGTATCGTCAATGACCGAGTCGGATACGACTCGGCTGAGTCTTATCCGACTCAGCCACTGTCGATACGATAATGGTATGTGAGTCATAGAAATCTCAGAATGAACTACTATCGGCGATATATCGTTCGTCTCAGCTGAAATCAAAGGACTCGGTCACACTTCGATTCAACTCGAACGATTCGTTTCAGAATCTTTCCAAGTTGAAAGAGCCCGTGAAAAAATCTCCACAAATCTAACTTATAGAACAAAAATCCAAGACACTCAATCATTTCGGAAAAATTGAACAAAAAACCAAAAAAAAAAAAGTGGGATGAGAAATAAAGCGGACCCACTACCAGTCAAAAGACTGGAAACCCATGTGAAAATTGCAGAAATCACATGAACCTTGAAATTTAAACCCCCATTTTTCAACTATAAAAAACAAGAATATAAGGATTTAACATTCCTGGAGATCGAAAGAAATAGGGTCTTCATCTTCTTCCTCTGTTTTTGTGTGACTATACTCTTCAGTTGTTTTTGTGCGACGATCGGACCAAGTGGATCTCGGTGTTGGTTCTCTAACGGTGAGGGACAGGGGTCGTCTGTCGGTGAGGGACTGTGGTCGACGGGTCGTCTCCGTTACTCTGTCTGCACCTCTCTGTATCTCTCTCATCGTGACTGACTGAGAAGACGAGAAGTCTTCGTCTGAAGAGGTAAGTATGGAAAAAAAAACTCTTTACAAGCTGTTTGTCGTTTTTTTTTTTACTGAGTCTTAGTTTTTTTAAATATTTATATTTATCTTGAAGGTAATTTAAAACTAGATGACCATTGAGTAAAGATGCAGATTATCATGTTGTAGGTCACTAATTCGACTCTTACTGGCTTTACATTATTTTAATTAAAATTACATTTAAATAATAGGCTATTTTATATTATTTTAGTTACAATTACATTTAAATTACTCCAGACATGCAATTAGGTTCGATTACTCCAGAGATGCAAATGTTACAATTACATTATTTATTGAATAAATATTACAATTATTTTTTTTTAATGATCAAAAAATTATAATTTTAATGTAATAATTAGACACATTAATATTTTATAATAATAAATGAGTGGATATAAGTTCTATTTTTTTATTGATAAAAAATATATGTTATATTTCAAATTACGTAAAATTAATTGTTACAATTACATTATTTTTATATTTAAATTACTTATTTATTGAATAAATATTACAATTATTGTTTTTAATGATCAAAAAATTATAACTTTAATGTAATAATTAGATACATTAATATTTTATAATAATAAATGAGTGGATATAAGTTCTATTTTTTTATTGATAAAAAATATATGTTATATTTCAAATTACGTAAAATTAATTGTTACAATTACATTATTTTTATATTTAAATTACTTATTTATTGAATAAATATTACAATTATTGTTTTTAATGATCAAAAAATTATAACTTTAATGTAATAATTAGATACATTAATATTTTATAATAATAAATGAGTGGATATAAGTTCTATTTTTTTATTGATAAAAAATATATGTTATATTTCAAATTACGTAAAATTAATTGTTACAATTACATTATTTTTATATTTAAATTACTTATTTATTGAATAAATATTACAATTATTGTTTTTAATGATCAAAAAATTATAACTTTAATGTAATAATTAGATACATTAATATTTTATAATAATAAATGAGTGGATATAAGTTCTATTTTTTTATTGATAAAAAATATATGTTATATTTCAAATTACGTAAAATTAATTGTAACAATTACATTATTTTTATATTTAAATTACTTATTTATTGAATAAATATTACAATTATTGTTTTTAATGATCAAAAAATTATAACTTTAATGTAATAATTAGATACATTAATATTTTATAATAATAAATGAGTGGATATAAGTTCTATTTTTTTTTTTGATAAAAAATATATGTTCTATTTCAAATTATGTGAAATTAAATGTTACAATTACATTATTTCTATATTTAAACTATCAATTGCATGTTACTTATTCAATTATTAGCAATTGTCCGTGCCTGAAAGCACGGTGTTACTTGTAAATTAGTTACAAATATTTGTTCATACATAAATATAAAGTAAAATACAATATTGTAGTAAACGACGAACAAAATAAGTCCGCTAATATTTTTTATAACGTCAACCTACATTCATAACATATATTTTCACATTAAATTGTTACGCCACAAAAATTATATTATAACTACTGAAACATAATAACTCAAACATCGAAAAAAATATATCAGTTGATGATATTCAATGTTCTGTTTTTGATTCAAAATCCACGATTTTAACATTCATAATCAACTTTATTTAAATAATAACAGAATTCATAATTAATAGAATGAAATTAAAACAATACTCTCACAAATAAACTAAGTCTGCAGATGTTGTCAAATGACCAAATATAACTATCAGAAATTCAACCGACTAAAAAAAGATACGATCTGACTATTGAATTTGTTTGATTCGAGTTTGTAGTAGTGTTTTTAACTTTATATTATTCTTCTTGCTTATTTATATTCTCAATATATTTTCTTAAACTAAACTTTATTTAGTATTGGATTATTTAGTAAAAATTATTGCTTCATTTTGTTCACTAAATATTGAATTTATATGATTCGTGTTCATAGTATTGTTTATAATGTTGTATCATTTCTCTCGTTTGTAATTTTGTATCATTTTTCTCGGGTATTTAAATTTAGATTATTTAGTAAATATTGTTATTTTGTATTGTTCACTAAATATTAAATTTGTATGATTCGTGTTTGTATATGAATTTAATCTTGTATATTTTAAATGTTAAGCATATGTTCTTTAATATATCTTTTGATATCTGAATTGCCTAATAACTTGAATTTAATCTTGTATATTTTACATGTTAAGCATATTTTCTTTGTTAAATTAGATTTTTTGAAAGTTATACTTTTTTTTATTGTTTATGAAAAAAAATAAAAAAGACTATTGAATTTATATAATTCGAGTTTATAGTAGTGCTTTTAATTTTATATCATTCTTCTTCATTATTTATATTCTTAGTATATTTTCTTAAACTAAACGTTATTTAGTATTGTATTATTTAGTAAATATTGTTGTTTCAGGTTATTCACTAAATATTGAATTTGTATGATTCGTGTTCATAGTATTGTTTATTGTTTATCTCACCTGTAATTTTGTATCATTTTTCTTAGGTATTTAGATTTGAATTATTTATCATAGTTTTAAAATCCGGCGTGGACACTAACCCGACAAAGGGACCGGGTCAATGGGTTACTGGTTGATTAAATCCTTTTAAGAAATAAAGTTTTTGATCGGAATATGAATCAAACCGAAAGACCCCTTAACTATTAAGGGGTCAATCGGTCGAACCGATCATATAATTAATAATAAATAATAATAATAATAAATATGCTAAAAAACTATAATAGTTACAAAAATAACATATTTTATGTTATAGTAAATGAAATAAAAAGACAAAAAATATCCTCAAATCATTAATTTGCTTACATAATTGATATAATTTGACAGAGTATAAAATAATTCACTAAAAAATATTGAATATTTAGTATAAATAGTAATAATATGATGCCTAAAAAACCAAAAGAAAAATTGATAAAAAAAACAAAGAGAGTTTAAGTGCAATACCTATTCTACATCGAAAATTCACAAGTGGTTCTAAGGAATCTGCACCTATAAAAGTGCTTCACTTCTCCACTTGTAGCTAGTGGTCAACAATTGCTGGCTTAACGTCAACCTCTAAGCATTTTGGTTTGAATATGCTATGTTTGGGCCTTGAAGTTTAGTTTCTTTATGTTTGAGCTCTAGTATGAAAATGGATTTGTGGAAACCAGATCGATTTTTACGGGTTCCTAAAAAGTGATCGGTTTAAGCCGGTTTGAGCGATTTTCAAGTGGGTCATTTGTTGGACCGATCTAATTAACGAATCGGTCCGGCTCAAGCACCGATTCACCAATTTTCTGGGTTGACCTGCCAGGCCGGGTTTTAAAACACTGTTATTTAGTAAATACTGTTGTTTTGTATTATTCACTAAATATTGAATTTGTGTTTGTATAAGAATTTAATCTTGTATATTTTAAATGTTAAGAATATTTTTTTTAATATATCTCTTGATAACTGAGTTGCCCAATAATTTGTATTTACTCTTGTATATTTTACATGTTAAGCATATTTTATTTGTTAAAATAATTTATTTGCAAGTTATACTTTTTTTTATTGATTATGGAANCACTACCAGTCAAAAGACTGGAAACCCATGTGAAAATTGCAGAAATCACATGAACCTTGAAATTTAAACCCCCATTTTTCAACTATAAAAAACAAGAATATAAGGATTTAACATTCCTGGAGATCGAAAGAAATAGGGTCTTCATCTTCTTCCTCTGTTTTTGTGTGACTATACTCTTCAGTTGTTTTTGTGCGACGATCGGACCAAGTGGATCTCGGTGTTGGTTCTCTAACGGTGAGGGACAGGGGTCGTCTGTCGGTGAGGGACTGTGGTCGACGGGTCGTCTCCGTTACTCTGTCTGCACCTCTCTGTATCTCTCTCATCGTGACTGACTGAGAAGACGAGAAGTCTTCGTCTGAAGAGGTAAGTATGGAAAAAAAAACTCTTTACAAGCTGTTTGTCGTTTTTTTTTTTACTGAGTCTTAGTTTTTTTAAATATTTATATTTATCTTGAAGGTAATTTAAAACTAGATGACCATTGAGTAAAGATGCAGATTATCATGTTGTAGGTCACTAATTCGACTCTTACTGGCTTTACATTATTTTAATTAAAATTACATTTAAATAATAGGCTATTTTATATTATTTTAGTTACAATTACATTTAAATTACTCCAGACATGCAATTAGGTTCGATTACTCCAGAGATGCAAATGTTACAATTACATTATTTATTGAATAAATATTACAATTATTTTTTTTTAATGATCAAAAAATTATAATTTTAATGTAATAATTAGACACATTAATATTTTATAATAATAAATGAGTGGATATAAGTTCTATTTTTTTATTGATAAAAAATATATGTTATATTTCAAATTACGTAAAATTAATTGTTACAATTACATTATTTTTATATTTAAATTACTTATTTATTGAATAAATATTACAATTATTGTTTTTAATGATCAAAAAATTATAACTTTAATGTAATAATTAGATACATTAATATTTTATAATAATAAATGAGTGGATATAAGTTCTATTTTTTTATTGATAAAAAATATATGTTATATTTCAAATTACGTAAAATTAATTGTTACAATTACATTATTTTTATATTTAAATTACTTATTTATTGAATAAATATTACAATTATTGTTTTTAATGATCAAAAAATTATAACTTTAATGTAATAATTAGATACATTAATATTTTATAATAATAAATGAGTGGATATAAGTTCTATTTTTTTATTGATAAAAAATATATGTTATATTTCAAATTACGTAAAATTAATTGTAACAATTACATTATTTTTATATTTAAATTACTTATTTATTGAATAAATATTACAATTATTGTTTTTAATGATCAAAAAATTATAACTTTAATGTAATAATTAGATACATTAATATTTTATAATAATAAATGAGTGGATATAAGTTCTATTTTTTTAT